CCCATTTCCATCCCAAACTGCCCCATTTCCATCTCAAACTGCCCCATTTCCATCCCAAACTGCTCCATTTCCACCCCAAACTGCCCCATTTCAATCCCAAACCCAAACTGCCCCATTTCCACCCCAAACTGCTCCATTTCCACCCCAAACAGCCCCATTTCCATCCCAAACTGCCCCATTTCCACCCCAAACTGCCCCATTTCCACCCCAAACTGCCCCATTTCCACACCATGACCCCCTGCATTTCACCCCCTTGCTCACAGATCCTCAGGCTCCTGTTGCCTGTGCTCACTTCACACCTCCCATTTTCCCCAAAGAGGCTTTTTTGCCCTTTTCAGTGCATGGTGCTGTGTGACACTGGGTTTCATGGAGCTGCTTTGCTCCTCCTGCTGTCACAATTCCAGAGCAGAGACATTTCATCAGTCACAAAATCATCTCAGCTCATTTTCCAATGAAGATAGAAGAGCTCCATGCCACACTGGGGCCTTCAGCCTGAAATCCAGTGTCACCAGTGCTCAAATCCCAGCAGGACAGGATAGGATGGTGTGGTAAAAACAGAAAAATCCCTTTGACAGGGAAAAATCCATTGTTACATGCTCACACTCTGCCCTGAACATCAGGAGAAGCAGCAGATCCCAACTTGCTCTCAGTGGGAGGTGCTCAGGACTGGCTGGGAAGGGCTTTGTGGGGTTTTTACCTGCTTTGACTGCGCTCCCAAAGCTGCCTTTGAGCCCCTCGGGTGGGCAGAGAGTTGGGAGCCAGAGGGTGGGAGCAATCCCGTGTGGGGTGGGAATGGAGCGGTGCAGGGAGCGAGATGCTGCTCTYCCTGAGGGATCCAGCCCTGCCTTTCCCCCCTCGGGAACACCTCACGCTTTGAAAGCTGAGCAAACACGGGGATGGCACTTTTCCAAACCTGGGGCGTCAGCAGCACCTCATTAGGAACGCTTCATTTAGCAGGGCTGCAAACGAAACCCTTCTCTCCATCAGCGGGGTGGGGTCAGCTCTGGGATGGCAAACCATGCCCCAGCCTGGTCGTGGTGCAGCTCTGGGGTCAGAGACAGCCACAGCAGGATGCAATTCCAGCAACGGATCCCAATGGGATCCTAAACGTGCCCACCACATGAGAAAAGTGGTTTAGTGGTGAGCACGGGGGTGCTGCTGTTTTGGCTTGATAATCAGAAAGCTTTTTCCAGCCTTAAAGATTCTCTAATTCCATTAAATTGCTCCACTGAGCCCCCAGGGTGCCCATTTCATTCCAGTGAGGGTCCAGAAGGATTTTGGAAAGAGCCAAACACTCAGGGCAGCTGTTGCRTCACCAGATGTGGCACAAGGAGCACGGCCGGGATGCTTGGAGGATGCCCCAACTGGGATTCCTGGAAGCTGGATTTATTCACAGCCTCTTCTGGGTGCAGCAAACCCTGCCCCAAAACCTGCCCTGGCTCTCCTCGCTGCGAGGCTTTGCTTGGAGGAGGGTTTTGTGGCAACTCCTGCAAGTTTTGTGGCTGGAATTCCAAGTGGATTTTCTCCACCAGGAGGGATTTCTCCACCAAGAGGGATTTCTTGCTCCTGCCACCATCCTCCAGCAGACCCAAARCTCCTGTGGAGCCCAGGGCTGGCACAAGGCTCTGTTCCTTTTCCCAGCATCTCTGCTTGGGAGAGCTGCAGCACTGGGGATGGATCGGGTAGGAACGGTCCCAACCTTAAACTGGGACCTGTCCTCGGTGTCCTGCTTTTCCTGGGGGCCAGCTGGGCCCGGTGGGTGCTGTCCGAGGCAGTATCTGGTCAAAGGCCTGCGGGGAGCCGGCAGATAGGGCGGGTTAACGTTTAACCCGGGCCCTGTAAAGCAGCCCCGGGCTGCTGAACCTTTGGAGTTTGATATGATGATTAGGGAATAACCGCAGGGACACGTCGCAAACTGCCCAGAACCACGCAGAACCTTCCCCCGGGGACTCGGCTCCAAAACCGCTCAGGTAGGGGCTGCAGGCGTTCGGGGGTGTTTGGGGTGCAGGGCCGGGTGTCGGAGCGGGGATTTGGGAAGGAGCAGCTCCGTCGGGAGCCTCCCACCCCCGCGGTGTCCCGGAATGAGTGACCCGCGGTGGGCAGCAGGGTGGGCTGGGGCCAAGACCCCCGGCTGGACCCCACAGCCCCGCAGCCGCTGCTCAGGGTGGCATCAGCGGGGTGGGCACAGAAGGGCTCTTGGGGCCGTTTCTACCTGGCAGAGCCACGCAAAGAGGGGATTTCTGCTTCTCCTCCCAGGCGGAGGGGGAGGAAGGATTTTCCCTGCCATCGTTCCCTCTGGATTTGTTAAAGCGCAACTTTCCGGGGTTTAATCATTAGAGACCTTTCCAGCCGGCTCCGCGTCCCTCCTTCCCTTCGCCTGAGGTCGGACTCCCTGGGGAAGGCATCGCTGCTCCCAAAACCCCCTCGGTTTTCCCTCCTCCCTTCCGACCAGCAGGGATAGCTCCTGCCCAGCACAGAACGCCCCTCTCCAGCTCTTTTCCTCGCTGGAACTGAGCTGTGGATGACAGCGGGCAGGGGATGGTCTCAGAGTACCCAGCAAATGAAAAAAAGCAGGGAAGGAGGCTGGGCTCGGCATCACAGAGGTCACTTTGTGTGCATTTGGTGACAGAGCTGCAAAAGCACAACTGAGTAGATTCTTGGGCAAAAGTGCCCAAGAGTAGATTCCCAAGCAAAATTGGCGGATTAGGCATGAAATGTCTCCTGGCTTTCACACTGCTGCTAACTCTCCCTGCTTTCCCRCAAATTCCTGYGAGTTCCYCCTTYCCCYKGRRSCYYC